GCTTGAATTCAGGATGTTGGAGCCAAGCATTGAATAAGCGGAATGGTTTGGGGCCCCAATTCTTCACCTCATTTTTCAACAGAACAGGGCAATGGTCTGAGATGTCTCTTTTCAAGCCCCATTGTTTCATGTCTTTCCATTTTAGTAGCCAATCTTCTGATAGCAGGAATCTGTCGAGTCTACTCATTGCATTGCCATTTGGTTGACACCAAGTAAATCTTCTCCCTATCATTGGTAGATCAATCAAACCCGAGACAGTAAGGAACTCTTCAAACCCAACCATCTCATTCTGTACTCCTTTGCATCCCTTTCTCTCATTTTGAGATTTTGTAACGTTGAAATCTCCCCCTATACACCAGTTGCCTTTGTTTTTAGAAATCAAATGGGCTAATTCCTCCCATAGTTTTTTCTTTGCATTACTATCACAAGGAGAATAAATATTCACAATATAGCATGGCACCCTGTCTTTACCCCACCACCCGAATACACCCAAAAAACCAACTCCCTGAAAAGAGCTATTAATCTTGAAAACCTCTTTATTCCAGATGCAGATTAGCCCCCTAGATCTACCATTTGACTCTTGGGCAACCCAATCAAAATCATCTGTACCCCAAAGATCTCTACAAATGCTTTTGTCAATTTTCTCCATTTTGGTTTCCTGCATCATCAAAAATTCCACTCTTTCTTTTCCTACCAGTTTCCTAACCTCTTTTCTTTTCCACCCACCCCCTATGCCTCTAGTATTGAAAGAGAGAAAGATCATTGGAAAGTACCTTCCCCTGCAATGTCGTTCCTCTGCTTCCTCGAAGGATCCTCAACTTGTTGCCGGCCATCTCGCGTTTCAAGTTGCTCTAGTCTTTTCAGAACTTCTTCCTCTTTTCCAGTCGCCACAACACCGATTGATTTGGCGAAGTCCCAAATCTCCGTAGCACCAAACGCCTTCATCTTCTGCAAAATGCAATTGTTGCGATTGTTTATATTACTGTCGCTAATAGAGTCATCCGCCACTTCGTTGCCGGAATTAGCCATAAACTCCGGTTGTGCGGCTTCCGCTGCAGTGCTCTTGCTGGTTCTACCCCTTCTACTTCTTGAAACAGTTGAAGTTACTTTTGATTCCCTATACACCTCTGCGCATGATTTGGCTTTTCTGCACCTTTTTCTTGACTTCTTCCTTTCTCTAGCACGCATCCATTCCTGTATAGCACCAGAATCGCTATCCATGTTTTGTAGAAAAGAATGAAGCTCATCATCAAATTTCGAGACTCTCTCTGCTCTGTCTTGATCTGCATTTGGGGTATTTACTCTCTCTGTTCTGTCTTGATCTGTATTTGGGATATTTCTTCTACTTTCCCTGATGTTATCATGGATTAAGGGACTTTTTGTAATAGGCTTAAAAGGGGCCTGCTCCAATCGCCAATTTACCTCCTTCCCATTTTTTGTCTCAGGCCCAGCAACATGGCCCAGTATAATAGCCTCCATTGAGTTAAGCCCGCCACTGCATTTTTCAATTGTCTCTGTTCCAGCTGATTTTCCGGCATTGCTCATTAAATGTCCTGACATCTTATGCACTTCAGTTGACTGTAATGAGTCAGGAACATCATTAGAGCTTCCTTGGAAGGTGCTGTTTATCATATTCGAGGAGGATATTTGAGTTTCCCATGTCAATCCTTTGAGATTTCCACAATTTGAAATTTTTGAATAATTTGAACGTTGTGAAGCTGATCTCTCTTCACCCATTTCTTGGTTTGCAGCCACGTCCCCATTTTCCTCATTCCCTAATGCCACATCATCATCTTCCTCACCTTCGGAGCCGGCAAGGGCTGAAAAATGCCCACAGCCTTCTTGAGACAAGGCCTCATCAAAGGAGTTAAATGACCAATTTTCACTATCATCACTACTATCAGAGGGGGCCTTAAATTTGAAGTCAGATTTCATTGAGAAAAGATTGTTTGTTGTTTCCTCTTCAACACACTTGATGTTGTAAAACTCCCCATTAATCTTCACGGTCATTACTTTGGATATCACTTCTGAGCATGGAGTAGATATAAGGAACCGAGCTGCATCGAACCTCTTCTTGTTGCTGGTGCTGTCATCAAGTGTGATGAGTTTCCCCCAGAACATGCTAAGATCTTCAAAGAACTTAGGGCCCCAAGCATGCAATGGCACACCTTGACATTTGATCCAAGTGAATCTGTCGGAGGCCACCATAGAAGGAGTCCAAGGCCTCACTTCATCGAACCATTGGGCAAGCCAATCTCCAGCATTTTCGACCAAGTACTGTAACTCTTCCTTGTCTTGGCATTGCATTAATACAAGTTTCCCACCCATTGGTTTCAATGAAAGAGAGAAGTATCCCTCCATATAAAATTTTTCTTGGAGTGTTGGAATAAGTTCAACTGCTCTTGCTGTGCCAACATAACTTCCTTCAACCCATGTGTACTCCTTCTCATCAACATTGAAAGACCATCCTTTCCATCCATGTTTCTGGTCCTTTGCAACCCACATTCTCTCGTTCGTCATCCTTGTACTTGGGTGTCTGCTACCTTCGGCCAGATTATTCCCTTGTGATGGCCGGCTTCCTCCTTTTAGAGCGTCTGCATAAGAGACTTTTAGCTGTTCAGCAGGTCCTTTGAGAGTAAACCCAACCTTGTTTCCATAGGTGTTTGCAGTCACTGTTTTTGATTGGCGAGCAAACCGCGGCTGATTCACGTGCAGCTTGAGTCCCCCGATCTTGATTTGGTCCAGCTCCTCCTCAAGGGCCTTCGTGTTTTTCACGTCCTGAAATCTGGCGAACCCGAACCTCCTGCCATACTTGTCCTTTCTGTCTGGAACATAGACTTCCAGTAATCTTCCAAATTTGCAGAAAGTTCTCCACATTTGATCGTGTGTCCAGTCATCAGGAAAGTTCGTAAAGAAGAACGGCACCGCTTGATTATAAGTTGCTCGGTCCATCCTCCAGTCTGGCTGAAATCTGCGATGTCGATCATGATGGCCGGAATGTTCCCAACCCCGTGCTGGTCGTCTTCCTCGTGTCCAAGAAACTCTCTCTCTCTCTAGGCCTCTCATGTCTTTAGGTGGGTCCTTTTAAAATCCCCCTACCTTGTTCCATTCAAGTTTCAAATTTGAGACCTTTAATAAAGGATTTAAGATCTCAATTGGCTTCATTTGGTGGTTTATTTCCTCATTGAAAAACATAGATTCCACCAATACATCTTTCCTTATAAGTGTTATTGGCGTTAACATTGATTAGTACACTTTGATTTAATACATTATATAATATGTTTATTAAAAATTATTATTTTTTCAATATAAAATTAAAAACAAATAAATTTAAAAAAGTAGTCATGCGTATGGAATATAAAAATTGATTAAATCAACTATATTT